TCGAAGGACCTGCAGTGGAGGAGGTTGTGGAGGAGCCTATTCAGGAGTCTACCCCCGTTGTTGCCGAACCGGTAGTGGATACTGTGGAGAAGGTGGAGGAGGCACCCGTTGAGGAAGCGGCTGCTGCTAGTCCGTGGACGGCTGCGCCAGTGCACCAAGAAATGGAAACTGTTGCTCCTGTGCAGACGGAGATCAAGGAAGTCGCTACGCCTGTTGCCGAGCCTGTTAAAGAGACCCCCGCACCGGTGGTGGAGGAGCCTGCTGTCGTGGAAGAGACCCCGTCGATCAGCGCCTGGAACTCAACGCCCGTCCAGGAAGTCGTCGTAAAGGCTGCACCTGTTGAAGTGGTGGAGTCTGCGAAGGAGGAGGCCGCTCTAGCGGTCGAGGAAGTCGCCGCTCCCGCTGTGGAGGCTGTTGTCGAAGCTCACGTGGAGAAGGAGGTACCGGCTGCGTGTTCGGCATGGAATACAACGCCAGTACAGGAGTCGAAGACTGTTATAGTTGAGAAGATCACTGAGCCTGTGATGGAACCGGCAGCCGAGCCCCAGAAGAAGGTTGTTGTGAAGGAGACTGTGGCTGAGACGAAGGAGACGTCAGCAGCGGGCGTCAAGGAGGTCGTTGTGGCCACTGAGATTGCTGTCGAGGACGCAAAGATTGACAAGAAAGCAATCGAAAACGCGTTTGACGGCGTGGCCAGCTACAAGGTAGACAGCGTGGCCAAGGTCAAGAAGGTTCCGAGTGTCGAGGCCGCGGCCGCCGAGTCGGCTGACGCACCTGGTGCGTGTGGCGCCTGCGGGATCGCCAGCTGCAGTGTCATGTAGTTTTCTCTTCGTTTTGTAGTGCAGCGCTCGTGCTCAAAAGTCGCCTCATGCGTCTGCGAGGCGTGTCGCGTCCATAAGACTAAGAATCATTCTCGTTTTAGCCAGATTTGCTGCATCAATTGCTCGAGTCAGACATGGATACGGTCTGGTCCGACTATGTTCGGCTTCAACATGGGGTTTAGCCTCTGTAAAGACATATACAACCCGTGAAATCATATATCAGTGGATACCTGATTGGTTGAAATTTTACCTGGAGTCGTGTCTGCCACACCATGGTACTCTTTTTTCCGAAATCAGTTCGATTTGGCCCCCGATCTTTTGGCTCATTTGCAGATTCGCCCTCCAGCCTTACAAAGGAACTCTTAATTTCGTAACGATGTCTGACTCGCCGTGGAACGCTGCCCCCGTGCCTGGCCAGGAGCCGCACCCGCCCAAGCCTGCTGCTACCCACGCGTCGCACACTTCGCACGCTAAAAAGGAGAAGGAGGAGCACGTCGTGTGGAACGCCGCGCCCAAGCCTAACGCCAGCACGGGCGAGAAGATAAAGGACAAGACGCGACACGCGGTGGAGGATGCCAAGGACTTCACGGCCAAGGTGACGGGCACTGTGGAGGGCTACAAGAACGACAGCGTGGCCAAGGTGAAGAAGATCAAGGAGGAGAGGAAGGTGGCCAAGGAGGAGAAGAAGAAGGAGAAGAAGCACGAGAAGAAGGCCGAGGAGTCTGCCGGTGCCTGTGGTATCTGCGGTTGCACCGTCATGTAATTTCAAGGTCATGCCGGGATCCAAAATCAATTTTTTACAGATCAGCCGAGGTAGCAGTAGCTGTAGGCTCGTGTAGAAGCCCCCTCATGGCTTTCGACGTTTGTTGCCTTAACCAATATGCCGTGGTCGTGCATTGTCATTTAGCTACTTGTTTCTTGGTATTTCCACCCCAGCAGCAGGATGGAGTGCGAGTTGCCAGCTGCCACTTTGCGGACATGGCGTTTGCTTTGTGGTAGCCACCCTGGATGCGATGTTTTTTCAAAGCCTTGATTTGCGCTTCCTGCTGGTCTTGGACCCCAATACTGGACGGATCCGTCTCGACACAGTGCGAGTGTGAAGCGGTTACCACAAGTGACGTCTGTTACGTCTTGGGCATCGCCACTCGCTGCTTGACCTGATGCTATCGATATATTCACCACGCGTGGTAGCGCCTGTGTCGCTATGAAAGCTCCGGGACCCTGGATGACGAAAGGTGTCAGAGGCACTGCATAATAATGCAATGGTGTCGGTTGCGTCAAGAACGCACCAGTTGACCATCCTTTCCCCAGCCCCACGTGTACAGATCACCGGACTCTGTCAGTGCTGTCGATGCGTATGAGTGTCACCGACAAGTTAATCCGGAAGGCAGAGAGCAGTTAAGAAGCTTACCTGCTGTGTGCCAATTGCCACACGCGACCTGCACGATGTTGCTGTCGAGTCCTTGAAGAGCGTCGACAATAACTGGCTGAAGCTCGCTCTGCGTGGTGCTGTGGCCTAGCTGGTTGTACAGCCCCCAGCCAAAAGTGAAGATCTCGCCTGATGTCAAGATCACTGCACTGTGTGCCCACCCGGCAGCGATACGCTGAGCGTGGACATCGGCCGGTAATGCAACCAATGAAGGAGTATGAAGCTTGTCCATCTCACAGCCAATGCCCAACTGACCGTAAGTATTGCATCCCCACGCCCAGACGCGACCACATGAGTCAACTGCGAGCGAGTGCATTCCCCCGGCAGCGACCGCGACAATCTCCACTGCCTTGGGAAATTCTACGATCGTCGGAGTTTGTACCATTTCCTTGGAAGCAGCCGCAACTTGACCTGAGCTGTTCCAGCCCCAGGCTACGACGCGACCCGAATCGGTCAGCACCAACGCGTGATTCGAGCCGCAAGCCACTGCCTTGCATCGCTCCGGCACCCCCACCTTGACCTGTAGATCCTTTTCCAACCCAGGATCGGCAGGCAGCTCACTGTAGAACGCTCGCCCCCATCCAACTACCTCCCCACTGCCAGCCAATACGCCGATCGTGAAGGTATCACCTCCGTCCACAGCCACAAACGTCAGGTCCGTTGGAGAGACACACTCATTGAAGAGCCCATTGCCGTCAGCTGAGACCGACACGCATCGACACTCCATTTCAGCCAATCGCCGCTACGATTCAACAATTCTTGCTCAGTCCCAGCAAGCACCACGAAGATGCAGCACTGCCACGACGAGAATTCGGCACTAGGTGGTCATGACCACGACCACAACCATGACCACAATCATGACCATGACGACGAAGTTGAGGACGCTAATGGAGACTCGCTCTACCCGTTCATCGACACCAGCAAGCTGCGAGTTCTCAACGCTCTGGACCCACAGACCGCCGCCCACCCATTCAAACCCTTTCACGAGCGTCAAGACCGGTCGCGCTTCCTGGCTAGCAATGACGACGACCCGGAGATGATCTTGTTCATCCCGTTTACAGAAGCCGTGAGCATCAAGTCCATTTGCATTTCTGGCAGTGCCGGTGACGGCACCCACCCCAAAGCAGTCAAACTGTACGGTACTCAAGCTGCTGCAAACCTTTTTTCTTCTTGTTTATTTACTACTGTGATGCTGCTTAGGTTCGCGAACCGAGAAGATATCGACTTTTCCAACGCGAACGAGCTGCCAGCGCAACAGAAATTGGATCTGATCGAGGACGACACAGCCAATATTGACTACCCGCTACAGTACGTCAACCTATTGTGAGGAGACGGATGTGAAGGTGTCTGACTGGTTTGGTGTAGAGTTCGCAAGTTCCAAGGCGTCAGCAGTTTGACGCTTTTCATTGAGGACAGCTACGGAGGCGACGAAACGAAGATCTATTATATTGGTCTCAAGGGTGAAAGCAAAAAGGTGCGATGCTTTCGCAACGACTGATACGCATCAAAACTGACACGGGATTGTTGTGTGCAGTGGCGTCACGGCGTCGTCGAATGTGTCTATGAAGCTCGTCCGCAGCCGGCTGACCACAAGGTCAAGGACACAATCGGATCGACGTCGCTTATTTAGTCGTGCGGGCAAGCCAAGCGTCAGATTAGCGTCAAGTCAAGAGTCAGGAGAGAGTTTCAAGACCTGCACACCTTGCTGCAACTGCTGGAACTCTAAGAGAGCTTGTTCTGCCAGTGAGGCCTTCTGCTCTTCCTCTTTCCGCTTCTGCTCGAGTCCGTTAAGCATTTGATACAAATCTCGAGCCAAGCCGATTTGCGCATGCTCTCCTGTAGTGTTTTCTTCGTGAGCATCATGTCGTTCATGCCCCACGCTAGTGTCTTCGATTTCGCCGTTCAGACTGTTCATCAAAGTGTCATCTTTCTCAGGCTCCTTCTCTTCCTCGTCTCCACCAAATTCCAGTTCAGTGAGACTTCGACTTTTCGAGAGCGACATATCTTCAAAGGCATCGGACGAACGGAAACTGGTCTCCTCTTCAAAGCTGTCGGCATGGGCCTTACTTGACTCAGCAAAATCGGGATCAGAAACCCTCGCCACGCTGTTTTCGTTGTGAATTGTGCTAGTACTGAAGTCCATGGGCTTTGGAGCTGTGCGTTCATTTGGCATAGGGGACATGTCAGACGCACTGTCGATGAATGTCTCCCAGTCGAACGGCTCGTTTGCTGCCTCATCCTCTTGACGTTCGGGTTCAAGCTCTTTGGACGAATTGCTGAGATTTCTGGAAACAGCGTCGAGCTCCCTGGAATAACCTTGGGAGGTACAACTGGAGTAGCTTCGACGAGATGCATGGGCTTGGAAATTTACCGTTGAAAGACTCGCTTTGGCCTCTCCTATCTCCTTCGATAGGTGAAAACGGCTTTGATCTGCCGAAGACAAGTCAAAAGATCCTTGTGACGCTGACAGTTGACTTCGGGATAAAGACGACCCCACTCCATCGCTTTCAAACTGTCGATCATCGTCGAACATGCCGTCACTCCATTGGGCGTCGTTATCTGAGAGAGGAATGCTTCCCAAGCCACTCGTTCGCCCGGAATGAGGATATCTAGAGCTTTCCTTTGTAGTTGATTGCTGCACACTAAATGTCTGCGTAAGTGATGCATCTCGTTTCTTCAATTCTTGTCTGACGCGGTCAACCTCTTGACGCAATCTCTGCTCTCGAGCAGCGTTTTCCTTCTGCAGCCTGTCTATCCTGGCTGCATATTGTGAGCGAATATCGTTCATATCTTTCGACTGCAGCATGTCAATCTCCGAATGCAACGCTTCCACCTCGGACTCCAGTGATTGACATTTCTCCGTCAGCTCGTCAATGTGTTCTGCAAACAGGTCCTTGGATTGCGTCGTCTCTTGCAGCATCTCCGTCAAGCGATCGCGGTCAGCACTGAAGTCGTTGACTTGTTCGAGCAATGCTGCGTTCTCTTTCTCCAATTCAGAGATATGCGTTTCAGTCTCTCTCATACGATTGCTGACAACGCTCAGCTCCTCTTCCTTCGTTCTGTCATGCTGAGCAAGTACTGACTCGACTTCGTACAACTTCCTCTCCTGGCTTGAGTACAGCGCCGAGCGTTGCAAAATCTGCTTCTCCAATTGCTGAATATGCTTGCGGTCCGCTGCCACTTTGCTGTCGTGTTCGCGCTGCGTCTTCTTGAGCAGGAAGTCCAGCTCTTTCCGCAGCAGCTCCTGATTGCGCGCTTCTTCCTGCAAAGCTTCGATCTGTTTGGTTGCTTCCTGTAGCTTCTCACCTCGAAAGGTAAGAATCGATGGAGCCAAGTCCATCGCGTGACTTGTGTTCTTCTTGCAACAATTGTGCCACACAAAGTGCGACGCACCCGAAGCTGCCTTCTTCTTCGAAGAGCCTCGGGAATGCAGTAGGTCATTGCGCTCCTTGACCACCTGGGCAGCGTATCGCTCTAGAAACTGCTTTTTCTCCCTCTCACCCGCAGCCTCACGAGTCAGCAGTCGTACGTGACTCTTGACCTGCTCCATGTCCTGCTCCAAAGTCGAAGAGTACAGACGGAGGTGCGTCGACAGCATCTCCATCTCGGTATACCGTGGCAGAATGTTCAGCACATAGCCAAGAAGCCGCTGCGGATCGGAAGTAGGTGGCACTGGCGGTAGCTCCAGCGCTGCTAGCGTCTGCTCCACTTGATGCCACCCGTCCGCGCCGTGATCAGCAAAAGCCATGCGGCAGCAGCTTTTGACAATTCATGCACTTTTGGGCAAATCGAAGATTTTGACATTTCAAACATGCGTAGTCAAAAGCAAAAACAACTGCACTTTTTTAAGAGCATCACTCCTCCGCGCATTCTAAAAAGCAGCAAAAAAGCGATTTTTCACTTCAACTTCGACTTCAACTTTTGGATTCCGCACTCGCGGGCGCCATGGACGACGACAGCCGCATGAGTGAGACGTCGAGTGTACGACACCGCGGGCCGCGGCGCGCATCCTCGCCACTGGGAGAATTGGACGCCGCTGACGACGCGGGCAAGCTCTCTGCGTCACACGTCCGACCGCAGCTGCGCTGTAACGCGTGCTGGGAGCCGATCCTCCCTGACGTGCAATCTGCCGAGACGTGCTACCGCACGAGCTGTGGACATTTGTTCTGCGTAGGCTGGCATGTCTGTGTGTTTTGTCTACTTGTAGTAAGGCTTGCTTTTGCTTCGTACTGTAGGAAAAATGCGCGTACAAGCACTTCGGCCAGGGAAGGCTGCAGTGTCCAGTCTGCAGCATTGGTAGGTGGAGATTTCTTGGTGTCGAATACTTCGTTTAGATAGCTAACTGATCGACCGGTGTGGAATCTTGTATCTCCGTGCAGACCTCAACGAAGCGTACGTTTTCTCCGGGAGTTTGACCTTGTTAGCTGACCGTTTATTGCCACTTCGAATTTGTGAAGGCGTGGCGGGATCTCAGAGACGTAAGCTTGCAAAATGGGAGTAGGTGGTGCTGTGCTTTGCTATACTGACAGGTTTTAAAGAACTATACATGGCGTAGCGGATTCGAAGGTATGCGAATGTCTCAAACTATGGACGCAACCTAGTACTAACACGTTATTGGCTGTCATTAGAGGACGGAGGTGCTGCTCACCAAGCTTGTTAAACAATATAGCGGGAATCTTATCTGATTGAGCGTCGGGTAGGCGATTTGGGAAGAGATGATGGCGGATCCGTCGTCCTGCTTCGGTACGGTCTGGCTGCTGTGTAGATTGCGAACTCGTGGCTCATTGCTCTTGTGAATTGTGGCCAGAACATTTCCAGCAAGCACTAGGTATGGTACAAGATGCTGATCTGCCGCACTATTTTTTAATTCGATCTGATATACTTGCTCGTAGATTTCATCCTGGTACGCGCTTTTTAAGCAATATGATAGAGATACGACCTCAAACTGAAAATGCTGACAGTTTATTTACCTACAGTTTCAGCTGGCCCAGGATTCTTTCAGGTAGGCAAATACTGAGCTGTTTTGCCATGATGATAATGATATTGTCTTGGGCAGACAGGTGAGAGTCATGGTGGAATTGTTCAAGCCGTATTATTTGTCTGTGGACACTAATCCCCGACATTGTAGGAAGAGATCAGACGCCAGCAAGGTTTGAAGATAGCTATAATACCTAAACGTTTGGTGGATACAACGTAACAATATTTTGTAACGAAGCTGAAGAGCAGAAGGCTTTTCAGATTCAACATGGAGAGAAGTATATTCAGCTGAAAAATTACACGGATCAGCTTGAAGCAGAGCTACGTGAAACGAAATCAAAAATGCAAGCTCTCACAACGTCTAATGACGAGCTCCGGGAGGTAAGTGCTGGTTTTATTACGTTCATACATGAGATTGGTTCGAACTTAATACTACGGGAACGCAGGCCTACAAGGAGAAGTCACGAAAATGCCGCAACTGGGAAAAGATGGTTGGTTCTTGGAGATGAGACGAGTTGGTCACATTGGCTAACACCGCTAACTGTGCTTATCATTAGTGCAAGACTCTGAAAGCTCAGCCGAGTACTCGACAATTCCCGTCACCGACACGCTCCACGATGGGAGGAATAAGCATGCAACAACAGGATGGTGGAGCTCTCGTCACACAAGCCAACCAGTTCAACCGCCCTTCAATGAGGTCAATGGGGAGGGCCTACGCGGTGGATGCATCTACTTCGTCGATGCGGAACTCTATGGCGAACATGGGAGGACCTGAGACCCCACGCACGATTCAGAGACCGAATGTTGGCATGTTCGATCGTTTTGCGAGACCTCAGATTGGTATGCAGCTTGTTACTTAGCAGTAGTATTTTCTGAACTAACTCGGGCATTTTCACAGGGGTGAGTTCTCGTCCATCGGTCCAGCCACTTGGTGGGCCCAGAACTCGGGTCGTGCGACCGAAAACACCGGTGCAAGCATCTCAACGAATGGGTTTCCTTTCCAAGAGGTAGATTGTAATATTGGCTGTGTCAACACAATAGTTAACGATTGAACTATCTGCATTACAGACCGACTTTCCGGATGTGAGCGGGGTCCCGATACGGTGTGATACAATGGCGGTCACACTTACTCGTTTTCACGTTAGTCAATTCTTTTATTGCTTTTCGCACAAACAAGTCTATTTTCGTGGCATGACGAGGTGGCACAATAGTTTCGAGCAAATTGGTAGAATCGAGAACACCTCTTGCAGATGACGAAGCCAATTTTCTCCCACGACAGTGCCATTCAACGAGCGAAGCCACTATTCGATCTGTCTGAACCAAGAGGTATGTCTGACGCAAGTGGTAAGACAGCCCGAAAACATTCAAAGACCACGAAGATCAATCCTACTACTCCGGTCAAACTAGTCATTCCATTCTCCTTCGAAACGATACTTGAAGCTATCGATAGCTCGACAGAAATGAGCCTCGGGTCAAGTAGCAGTCAAGTTGATCTCAAACATTTGAGTTTGGAACTAGCCGATACCAAGGACCTGTTAACTGAATCTACTGCTGGAGATCAGTGTGAAGAAGGCATTGAACGGCTTTCACTTCGCATTAGCGAAGAAGAGAATGCTAGCACTAACTCTGTTTATTTATCATCAACACCGAGTCGGCCACTGGCTTCTCAAGCTCCTCTGAACGATCCGCAACATATCCCCAAAGTATGCCCAGGCACAGAGAAAAGCGACTGCGTTTATTTGCTGACAGCGCTTGTTGTGATACACAGGGAGCAAATCGGTCTCCAATGACGCACTCAGCTCCTCGTGTCGCGCAAAGATACCAGTATGTGTGAAGATAATACCACATACTTCAAGATCCTAACACGGTTTGTATGGCTGACTACATGTAGACTCCGTCATCCAGACGACCTGATCGCAGAAGCTAGCGAGCAAAAGCGGATTGTCGATGAGGTGCATTTTATTATGCATTTTAGGATTACAACGCTCAAGTCCATAACAAATACTTCATACAGCTCGTACAACTTGAAGGCAAGCGGCGGCGTAAAGAGGAAGAGCTAGCTAGAATTTACAAACGCAACACAAATCGGGAGGGAAACGAGGTCAGTTTTGAATGTTTTAGAGCTGTTCTTTTAGCAACACTAACCTTCTTTTCGCTGTGTTGGTGCACTAGTGCAAGATCAAAAGTCATCCGAACTCATGAACCACGCATGCTACTTGCGCAGCACGAAATGACGCATAAGAGAATACTTGTACTACTCATACTTGGGTAAAGTCGACAGAGGCGCAATAAAAAAACACGTCACGAAGACGCGATGATAGCTTCTATGACGGAATACACAACTGCTTCAATCGCACTCGTCTTGGCCGTCATGGTTGATAATCTTGATCGGAATAAAAAGTGAGGTAAGTAGCCGTGAGGCCAAGTAGCCTGGTTCAGCTTGAGCAGCAGCAAAACTTCTTGACAGGCTTAACGAGTCTTCAGGTGACGAAGTATAAACTACAGCGGAGACCAGTCATCTGCTTTATACCACAAGCTTCTTGACCACGTGCATCAGAGCGCCGATGCGCTTCTGAGCAGAAGCCGCTCGAGCCACCAGACGTCGAAGTGCCTGCGTGAAGTCGGCCTTCTGGTGCTTTCCCACATTTGCCAAAATCAACGTCGTTCCGTTCGTACGGATCTGCTGCGTTGTGCTAGTCAGCAGCTCCAATTCCTTTAGCACACGCATAGCCAATGTTGAGAACGAAGGGGTCTTCATGTAGCTCTCGATTCCATCAACGAGTGTTTCGATCTCAGCCAGTTGCGAGGCCAACGCCGTGTACTCCGGATCCGTCACACGCTTCGCAAGTTGTGCTCTCACCAACGATGTCTCTGCGCCCGCATCCGATCTTCCGTCCGTTAACGCCAATCTGCCCATCTGTCCGTTCAACACATCGTTGTCCACAGACGATCCTCTTCTGAAGTGGAACCTGACTCCATTATCCTTTTTCGCTTGAAATGACACCTCATGGTTCGACATCTGCGTTCTGAACACCCTCGTAGCTCGCTCCTTCTCCAGAATCTCCTTCATCCTGGTCTCCTGCGGTGTCATCCTGTTATACGACATTCTAGCGTGCTCGGTCGTCCTGAGTGACTCTGCCGGATACGTTCTTCTTCCGGAATACAGCATCGATACATCTTGTCCTTCAACAACAGCAGCAAGTCCGGGTCCGCTGTCTCGTCTCGCCAAGAAACTTTTAGAGATTCGAGCTTCGAGTCGGTCGGTACACGAGGATCCTCCCGAGCGCGAGGACAGAGGCGTGTCGAATGTGTCTGTCAGTCTCTCTGTGCTGGCCATCGACGAGTCCTCGTTCAGCACCGAGCGCAAGTCGAACATGGAGTCGCCCAGTGTTCGCTCCCTGGCTCTCGAGGACGAGCGTCGACGTGGCGGCAACAAAGCAGCAGCATTTCGATTCTGCGCGCGGTGTTGCTGCAGTGATTGCAGCATTCGTTGGGAGACTGTGCGGGGTGCTGGTGGCGGCGGAGGAGGGTGACGTGCACGTGGCTGCTCATGCCGCAGTCTTGCCTCGATTTCTGCATCGATATCCCGTTCAACGACGTCAAAGTCGGAAAAATCGTCGTCCTCATAGTCGTAGGACGCTAGTGGTCCAGCAGATAGTGGCTGTCGGAAATGAGAATGCGGATAGTAGCCGTCGTACCCGTGCAGGTACGCGCTCATTGTAGCTTGCTGCGCTTCGTGTTATCAGCTCGGAGCGTTTTTCGGTTGTGTCGCCGTAAAATTGGCTGGCGCGATCGCGAGGTGGGACCCATGTAGAGGTTTAGACCAATGGGAGAGCACGATTGTGGAGCTCCGATCAGTGTGCAATTGCACACCGAAGTCTGTGAACGTCCGTTCGCATCTGGTGGGCACATGACCAGCAAAACGCTGGTCACTGTAAGCATGGCTCTGCGGCAGCGACGCCGTTCGATGCGCTCTACAAAAGCAAGTATTAATACATGTAATTCGCTTAATTCGCTGGTAGATGTCATGAAGGAAAACACGATGCAGAACTTCGGGTGGCGCTGTTTTAATACGTAGCTCGCTTTCGTCCGTCCACCACCGGCTATAATGCGCTCGACGTAGCCATGCAATTCTCCTGGCGTACTTGCGCTGCGATCGCCGTTGATCATCGACTTGATGGGCTCGATCGCACCCATTCCGCCATTGGTCGTGCTCTCGCTGAATCAGTAGGCTTTGCAACACCTTGCGCCATCGCGAGGAACAAAGCAAGATGAAGCGTGCTGAGTGGGCCACTCATGGGTGATGCCCGACTCGACAGGCGGTTAGCAGTGTTGGCCTCCAACACTGCGCGTCCAGACAAGACTCGGAGAAATCGCTGACTACATACATGCTCTTGAGATGCCCCTCACGGCCAGCGTAGCACTACAGTACACTGTTCCGGCCACGCGGCAGCCTCCTCCGCACTGAACTGCAAGCTGGAGCTATGCTGACAACGTCCCCCATTTCGTTCGCGTAGTAGAGAGGTCACTGCCAGGGTGAGTCGCGCCGCCAACCGTTCGTCGCGATGTTGCACTACGACTTCAAATCACTGAAAATCGATGATTCATTTAGACTCACTAAAATTGACTTTGCATTACGGTTCTGGTTCCGGATCATTGGCACGAAGAACTGGGACCAGGTGCTTCGCCGCGAACTCGCACGCGTTTTGAATGCCCTTCTCAGCCGCAGGACTCACCGCAGTCGGGAACATCACCGGATCGTGCACTATGTTTTTCAAGATATCTACCTCCATGTTTGTCACGCCTTCAGCGTCCGCCTTCGCCTTGAATCGCAGACCTTGCTCGTAGAACCTCTCCATGTCGCCCCACTGCAGGAAAATTGGAGGCAGGTCACGCAGACTGTGGTTGATCGGAGACACCAGACGACGCTTCTCCGGGTCCGTCACACTGCGCAGGTACGTCGCCAGACAGCTGTCGGCGAAGTTGGCTGCCAGGATGCAATACGGCGTCTTCTCGTCGTTGCCAGTCTCGCTAAAGTCCACCACCGGTGAGTAGCACAGCGCCGCAGCAGGCTGCAGCTCTGGACTCTCTTTGCGGAGACGCATACAGTTGGTCATCGACATCTCGGCGCCGGCACTGTCGCCACTGAACACGACGTGGTTTGGTTGGATATTCTCGTGTTTCAACACGTATTTGTACATGTTAAAGCAGTCATTTAGAGACGTCGGGTATAGAAATTCGGGGGCCATGCGGTAGTTGGCCAGCAAAACATCAACCGACACGTCAAGTTGGTGATTCTCCTTCAAAATCTGCTTTAGTTTCGTGTGTTCCAGATTCGCCAGCTCCACGTCCTGGAGCGGGTCCGATATGCAGTAGCCTCCACCATGGTAGTGGATTACTACGACGCGGTGTTCGTTCTTCTCCGGGTCACGCATCCACATGTGCTCCATCCCATTAGCCACTAGTTTCTCTGGGATCGTGTTGTGCTTGCGGCAACAGGACTTCAAAATAGTCTTGCCATGAAGTTGGAACGGTCCACGTAGACGTTGAGCGTTCACGTCGGCGATAATGTGGCCGTAGTCAAGGAACATGTAGCGCATCATGGAAATAGTGAACTCGTAGGCGAGCGTCCATTCCGGGAACGTCGGCTTGAATCCGCGGGCAGCAGCTTGGAATAGCAACGTGACGAGCTTGAATTGGAGCTTGATAGCGATGTAAGGGATCAATACGAACGAAGTGGCAAGTGGCCATGCAGCATAACAAAACGCAGCGAGCAGCGCAAGATACCCGATAGCAATCGAGAAGAAGATGATTGGCGTTCCGTACTGAAGCACGTCCAGGTACGCCAACAACGCGCCGATTAGACCGACGCGAACGCCGAAATAGATCACACCACCACTCATGGCGTTCTATTGATCCGATAGTCGCGGGCGCAGTAAATAGCAGAATGATCGGGTCCCTTTCATCGGGAAGAATTGACGCACACTCACCAGGTCTGGACGGCGGTCCTAGTCGACGGGAAGTTCCCGGGGAACTGGTTTTCGAGCGTAGAGAAGTGCCCAAGCGTTCACAGCTGGTGAGATTCGCATGAGCTCTGTTGCTTTCGCCAGTTGAAATACCTTGACATAATGAAATGGGTCACAGGATCGGTTGGTCTGCATTCTAGAGTCTTGACTCTGGTTACCAATGGTGAATTACCATCACGCGAGATAGAAAGCTATAATTGCTTCACTTCGCTCTAACAAGCACCTAGCACTCTGGTTCAGGTTCGGCACCCAAAACTTCGGCTACAAGCTTAGCCCCGAACTCACAGCCGTGACGGATTCCCTCTCTCGCTGCAGGACTTACATCAGTCGGCAGCATTACGACATCGTGGGGCATATTCTCTAAGAAGTCAACCTCCTAGTTGGTGATGCCCTGCTCCTTAGCTTTGGCGATGATCCGTTTGCCCTGTTCGTAGAAGCGCTCAAGCGTTCCGTACTGCACGAACATGGGTGGCAGGTTGCGGAGGTCGCGGTTGATTGGGGACACCTTCAAGCGCTCCTCGGGGTCCGTCACCTTGGCCAAGTACGTCTGGTGCACATTGTTCACGAACTTGGCCGGCATGATGCAGAACGGCGACTTCTCATCGCCCCCTTTCTCCTCAAAGTCGACACTCGGTGAGTACAGCAGACATCCAAGAGGAAGCTGCGTGGAATTGTTCGAGTCACGCATCCGCATGCAGTTAAAGAGAGACATCTTGGCACCAGCGCTGTCGCCACTGAAGAGCACGTGGTTCGGGTCGATGTTTTCGTGCTTTAAGACATACTGGTACATCATAAGACAGTCGTCGTCAGGAGTTGGGAAAGGATGCTCGGGGCTTTTACGGTAGTTGGCCAGTAGCACGTCCACGGACACACCAAGGTGGAATTTCTCCTTGAGAATCTGCTTGAGCATCGTGTGCGTCTGATTTGCCAGCTCCACATCTTGCAGCGGATGTGACATTGCGAAGCCTCCACCGTGGTAGTGGATGACCACCACGCGCTGCAGCTTCTTATCAGCGTCACGGAGCCACATGTATTCCAATCCGTTCGCTTCCAGTTTCTCCGGAACCGTTCTGTGTTGGCGGCAGTTGGACTTGAGGATCAGTCGACCGTGCATGGCAAAGGGCTCACGCAGCAGCGCCGCGTTCTCGAAGGCGATGACGTCTCCGAACTCTTCAAACACTCATGTTGCCAGTGATCTCGAATGTGAGCGTCCATTCTGGAAAGCGCGTCTTAAAGCCGCGACGAATGAACGAGGCGAATGTCGAAAAGATGTTGAGTTGCAGTTTAATGGCGGCGATCGGGGCTTCAAACGGCGAGTGTACTAGCGTGCGGCCGATATAGCAGAAACCGGCGAACACCAGCGTGTAGCTGATGACCAATAGGCCCGCCACAGGGTCGATAATGGCGGTGAGTCCGACCTGCATGAGATTGCAGTAGACGAGCAGCACACCAAAAATGCCGCAGTAGATGCCGAGTGCGACTAGCGAATCGATCATGATGAGAAAATGAAGGAGTGAAAGTGCTCCCATCAACCGATGGAAACAACTTGTTTGTGCAGTGCACGGCTCTGGTTGCTGACGTGGAAGAGGTCTATATATCAAGTGTTGAACGGTTTGCGCGGTCATACCACGGCGGCACGCCATGACCGCAGAGAAGGTCTCCGATAGCATCGGACCGACGCAAGCTATCCTAACTTGCTTCCAGTCGCCCTGCTTAAAAACGGTCATTTCTACTTCGCGCGTTAGAAGCAATCAGCCGAATGAGCCGTCCACTTTCCTAGCGGCAGTACGATATTTGCTCGGTTCAGAATGCATCACCGCTCCGCTGGACGCTTCACTGAGTTTTTATGGTCTCTATGATAAAATGTGAGTTAAGTCACCGCTGGACATGAAGTCTATCAAGTCACTGGACAGCAGCAATGACATGGTGAGGATGAATCAGAATTTGTACCGCCAGGGTCACTGGTCCAGTGACCGGCTGGACCAGATGATCTGGTGGAATTTCATGCGAGCAACGAGCTCAACTACGTTCGTGAGACGTTGGCGGTGGTGAGAAGCACCGCAGATGTCATGTTTTAGGACGAGTGAGTTTCAGGCAAGGCTCCAGAGTCTGGAGCCTTGCCATGAACCTCACTCGGTCTTTAGCTCGTCTGGAGTCCAGACGAGCTAACTCGACGACACCAAGCTCTGATATACGCAACTGTCTTGTCCTATTGATCTAGACTGTAGTGTGATGTCATCGCTGCTAATGCTGCTCGCGTTTACCGCAACTCCGTGCCACGCGTAGTAATAGGTTTCGTCTTGTAGTGGGCTAGGGGCATGTAGCCTCATCCAGCCACTACAGTGGGCGGCAGTACTGATCTTCGGATTGGCAGTGGCAGGGTTGCCATCGAGTGATGATTGAAGTTCAGTATTGCCGGCCCGAGCTGGCAATATATACAGGGTATGTATTGCCAAGTATACATAGTATGTATACATAGAGTACAGACAAAGAGTCAGTTAGTCAGTCTACAGTAGAACTTGCTTAGTGGAGAGCAATACACTAGGCAGAAGCTTTAGGGAGTGCCAGCTCCCCCAGTTGTGTGTTACTTCCACGACCTACTACACGTCTCCAGTAAAGTCCCGGGCACTACGAAGTGGATCGCAAGGTGTCAGGCGGTGTTCATTTGAAACTTCCAAATTAAAAGCCCAGTGAAGACTACAATCGTCTGTCGCTCAATTGCACTGTCACCCCACACCAATACTTGCTTCACTTCAAATTCCACTGAGCGAGCAACACCCCGCTGTGATGGAGTTCAAGAACTTCGTGTCGAGCACCAAGAAGGCTCCGTTCACGAGTCCATACCCTCCGATCAAGTTGAGTGCCAATGAGAAAAAGCAGCTTCGTCAGCTCGCTAAAACCCTCGTGAAAGTCAACGTGGACGGATACGAGGAGTTCATTTACGACAACAACGGGAAACTTCCTGAGACCGAGTGGAAGTTCTTCCGTCGCGACGAACAGGTTGAAACCTTCTTACGTCGTCGAGAGGAATACAATCTGCGAGGTTTCGGAGCGACCAAGAAGTTCCGTCGCACGTCTGACACAAGCAGCGCTACAAGCTCCAGCAGTACTCGCAGCGAAGAGCTGTCATCACTAGACGTAGCCGATATCCGCTCTATCGGTTCAAGAGACGGCACTATTGAAGACGCCATCTACGGCGCCATGGGCCCCACTACGGAGACCATGCGATACAAGTCCGTGTACGTCCAGGACGGTATCGAAGACTGCAACGTACTGGTGATCATCGACAACGTCACCCAAGAAGAGCCGTTCACCTCGCTCTCAATCCGCTGGCGAGTGACCGAGAACCCGCCGATCCTTCGCAACATTCTCAAGAGCTACGACCACATTTACCTGGAGGCGACAGGCTTCACGCAGCTGAGCAATGGTGAGCGCGTCGCTTTCCACCTGCTCCACTCCGTCGACTTCCCGTCGCTCACTCCTCCACTTCCCGACTACTCGCGCGGTCAAGTGGCGGCTATTGGCTTTTGGAGACAAACAGCTCCGAACATCGTGGAGATCCACGGTCGTGGAGTTTTTGCTCTCCCGTTTGAGCGGGCTCGCGCACTCTTCGTGCCTGTGGTGACGGCATCGCTGTCGAAGTCAGTCATGCATATCTTCTACGCGTCGCACATGAAGAAGCTCCGTTGGGTGCTAACGGAGCGAAAGACTCAAGCTGTACCGTATTCACAGTCTTCTGTAGATCGCGTGTGCGGCGTGTGCAGCAAGAAGCGATTGATCTACCGAAGTGACAGCTGCGAGTTGTGTGGCGAACTCGTGTGCTCAATATGCCGCGTCACTCATAAAGTGGCTTCGGTGGAGCTGGACAACAAGATACACTGGACCAAGGTGAGAGTATGTCCTTATTGCACGACTCGCGTCGTCAAGTCGGACACAACGGCTGTGGTTCGTGCCGAGATTGCAGCGGGATGGTACGACCGGTTGCCATAGTCGGCAGAAGACTATTCCCTACATGTACATATGAAGCTCTGCATCGCCACCTAATGGGACGGATTTCATCACTTCGTAAGCGAATTACAGATACACATTTCACTGAAAATTCTCGTTATATCCACATATCAAATACATCGCAGTTTGTAGAGCTGCGCTTATAATTCCTAGAGTGAATGGCGTCTGTCCTTCGATCGGACAGGTATTTTTTCGAGAGGTGGGTAGCACTAACGTCGACTATTGCAAGGTGCCGTATTGCCCGGCTCCGACCTCTGCGCGCACGGTTGCTGCTGCGGTCCTGTTGGTCACGTCTAGCATGCAAAATGGACACAGACTCATCTTGGAGTGGTGCATTTTGTTGTCGAGCTCCACAGTTGGCAGCTTGTGTGTGATCCGACAGATCTTGCACACGTGCTCACCGCACAGCTCACAGCTTGATCCTTTGTTGAGTGTCCGCTTCTTCTTGCAGACACTACACGGATGATTCGCGCTCCATTGCGGTCGGAACAGCATTTGCATCCGTTGCTCCCGAATAGCGCAGCGTAGTTTCTTCATCTGGGACGCATAGAAGACGTGGATCATCGACTTGGACAAGGACGTCGCAATGGCAGGGATGAAGAGATTACGAGCACGCTCAAACGGCAACGCATACACGCCGTGACCGTGGATTTGCACGACGTCAGGCCCCATTTGTCTCCAGAACCCGATCGCTGCAACCTGGCCACGGAAATACTGCGGTAAAGGCGGCGTCGTGCCCTTGAAGTCGACCGAGTGCACTAAGTGGTACCCCACACGCTCACCGTTGACGAGTTGCGTGAAGCCCGTCGCGTCCAGATACACGTGGTCATAGCTCTTGATGACCTTGCGGACAATGGGCGAGTTCTCGGTGACTCCCCACCGAACACTTAGCGACGTGAACTGGTCCTCTTGCGTCACGTTGTCGATGATTGCCAGCACGCAACCGTCCTTCATGCCGTCTTGCAGGTACTCCGAGGTGTAGCGCATCATGTCGGTGGTGGGACACATGGCGCCGTGCACGGCTTCCTCGATCGTGCCGCCCCGCTGGCCAATGGAGCGGATATCAGCCACGTTGAGTGATGAGAACTCCTCGCCACGAGTGCTACTGAGACTTGTGGCGGTCCGAGTGACCGAAGAGACATGCAACTTGTGCGGCGCACCGAAGCCGTTCAAATTGTATTTGTCGCGGCGACGTACGTACGTCTCGACCTGCTCGTCGCGCCGGAAAAACTTCCATTCGTGCTCTGGAAGGTGTCCCTCGTTCAGATACAAAAACTCTTCATAGCTGTCGATGTTCACCTCAATTAGGCTTTTGGCGAGCTGGCGCAGTCGATTTCGCTCGTTGGCAGTGAGTACCAGGGGTGCGTACGGACTCGTGTACGGCTCTTTAGTCGACCCCATGGCAGTCGTCGGGTCTGTCGGTGATTGGAATTGGCCAAGGGGCGGAAAGACTCGCGGCTATCCAACCGTCGAGGTGGAATAAGAGAAATGATCAAGCAACCACCACCAGGTCGCTGAAAGCGATGTAGATCGCAAGCATTTGTGGGGTGGGCACTTGGCAGGGATTCTACGACCTGACACGGCCGCATAGACACCGCTCCCGTGAGGATTTCAGGGTCAAGTTTTCCGGAGGTTGAGTCATGCGAATCGTTGCCCATGATGCTAATGCTTGTAAAAGACCGAAGCAGAGACCAGAGCATGCACTTCAGACTGTTGTCTACAGTCAGGTACAGTAGCTGGCGGAGTTGCTCGCGTGTTCAGCCGGTTGCAGCGTCGCGCGCGCGCGTAGCCAACCGCCCGGCTACATGCACGTATTCTTCAGTTCCGCAGTCCCACGTGGACTTCACGTAGCATTTTCGCAGGGCCGCCTTCACAAAGCCAACGCGACGGTCATGATGACCTCGAGCACAGTGTTGGACTGCAACGTGGTATAGCACCTACTAAAGGCGGTGGTGCACCTTTCAAAGGTGCTCAGAATTATTGCGTGACGCAGCGCAAGTTGCGACGAGATCGGATCATAGGCCATTCAAAACGGAGCTTGCTGCTCCTTCATATTGTAAATTACTAAGTACTTCACAGTATTTTGTACTGCAACAACTCAACGGAGATTTATTGCTCAGCAGTCAGCATGCTGTTCCCAATCGCATTACGATCGTTTCGCCACCGGCTCCTTGGTTGCTGGTGGTCGCAGCAGCGCCAGTCGTGCTGTGAAGCAGCTACGAGTCGTAGCGTAGTACGACGGCAATGCTCCATGCGTGCGCATTTTCCAGCGAGTCGTTTTTTGCGTTATTGCGGACATTTTACGTCCGCTCAAGTTGAAGTGGAAGATGCGTATCTTTACTGCAGAAAGTACAACTCTAGGACAAACCTCTGGAAACCCATTTTCCGGTGTCCAATGTTCCTACCAACAACCCCCAATAAATTATAGCACGACATATTTTGAGGTACTTCAAAGATTGCATCATTAAAAGAAAACAAACACTTTCAGAAATGTTTCACAGAAACTTATAGCCTGTTAGATAGAATTAGATTAAATGGAAAGTTGTCTCAGCGAAAGACACCTTACAGCAACTATTATACTTCAAGTATTTTAAAACACTTTACAGTTAGTTGAGGGCTTTACACTGTTTGTATTGCTTCCCAACTCGAGCTAGTACGCACTCTAACAAATTTCCCATCGCTCGCGGCACCAGTTTGAAAGATTTAGTCGCTGATACCCCGTGGGCTTAGCGTTTTCTTTAGAAGAAGCTGGTCCCTGATTTTACTCGATCGGCGAAGGAATCGGTCATAGAGCTTGCTCTTGCGAGGTAACCGTTCATAGAGCTTGCGATCCGACATTAATCGCTGCATGAGCGATTACACCAAACGGTGTCTAGCATCGATATCAATATTACCTGACAGGTCTGTGGTTGATTTCGAAACATGTAGTCAAGCCTGTCCGATCATATTATAATTGATTTGTGACATTGGACTCGAAGCATGAATAGAAAACAACCCAATGTCAAATTAGAATAGTAATAAGTATAAAAGAGCGCTGAAATCGATAAAAAAAATCGAGAAAATGATAATTTACCCCTTAGCGATAAAAATGGTGGGTTTAATCAAACTGATGGTCGTAGACTCGTCCGAAGAAATGCATGTACATGTATGGCTTCCTGCTAATATTTTTTCACTAAGTTATAGAACTAATCTATCTAGATCGTATCTAACAAATGCTTACAACTAATATACACTTGTCAAATTAAAAGCCCTTGTAAACTATTTCGCAAGCTTCCAGCGCAACGCGTGAGTTTCTTGAGCGAAACATCAAGAGAACAAGAGGCCCACACAATGAGGCCTAATGGCCCAAATATCGTGGCGAAGCTGCCCGTCCAGCGATTTTGAGATTTTAGTGAGACCTCACGCTCGTAAGACCCAACTACGTGAGGCACCTTAAAAACCGCGTAAAAAAACGCGGAATACATGAAAATGCGGAAAGTGGTGCCCGTGCTGACAATATCAACGGGAAATTACCACCCACCATTCCAGTGAGCCTTGGACAGACTTCTCAAGCGTGGACGTCAGCTGAACCCCGTGCTCTTCCTGAAGGCGCTGTCTTTGGACGTTGAGCGCGCTCAACTAATTCACAAATTCAGCGGGGTACGTAGCCCTAAGTGTACCCCTAGTTACATGAAGGGTGACACGTCATACTTCAGGATATTTGGTACAAGAAACCAAGGTCATCCGAGGCCAACCATTGGCTGATGACATTGCTTTTCTATAGGTGACTTTAGTTTGTTTATTTAACTCAAGCTTAGCCTACCTATAAATATATTCAGTTTACAACCTACCTTAAATCGGTCACTTCGCCCCTCTTTCGGTAAAAGGGGACCTGTGAACTGCCGTTCACTGAGAGTTTGTATACTCTCGGAAGCCAGCTTCCTCTAGCGCAAGGTGCTGTGTGACCCGGTCACACTTGGTAGCACTTGTTGGTCAATCCACGCCAACGCGGGTAGGCTACCTGAACCTCTCCGAAGTTCGTTGCCATGGATAGTAACGGCTTCTCCCATCTGAACAACTCACAGCTCGAGTCGGTTCGGAAGATGGCAGGCATCTTCGGGATGGAGGCCCTGCAGAGCCTGCTGGTGTCATCACCGTCCGAGCAGATCGAGTGCGTCAATGCGTTTGACGCTTACGAGCAGGGGCTCATTGCGCATGTGCGGATGAACCTGCAGGCTTCGGCGGCGTAAACAAATCCCCCACACCCGAAGACAATACGGCTGAAGCTAAGCCGTATGAAGGGAATGAAGGTGAGAACCTTCACTTCTGGGTCCGAGAGGTAGAGCTCGCGATGGACGCGGCTCTAATCTCGACCGAGCAACTTTGTGTTGCTTTGGCACTCTCCAACCTTAGCCATCGTGCTAAGAGTTGGGTGTACACGCGGGAGGCAACATCCACTGGATGTTTCACATCCTGGGTTAAGCTGTGCGAACAGCTCTGAGCCGCGTTCCTCCCGGCGAACTACAAGTACCACCAGCGCTCGCGCTTCCTCTCGTGCAAGCAAGGGAGGCGTGAGCTGCACGAGTACGTCCAAGCGATACGGGAGCTCACGGCGTCCCTAGTGGGAAACTCACTCAGCGAACACATCAAGATGACTGTGCTCATGGACGACCTTCGAGTGGGCCCAGCGCGCACTCAGCTATTCCGGGTGCAGTCAAGCACCCTTGAAGAGGCGATTCAAGTGGCTCTTCAGGAAGAATACAGCCATCACCAGGCGCGTACGCCGGCCTCAGCATAGCCAGGGAGTTCTTTGTCGGCTCCCGGTCGAGCGAGCCCCAACGGACCACTTCCCAGGGAACTCGGGTCCGCCGAGCAGCGTGTCATCCGCTGCTTCGGCTGCGGGAAGATGGGCCACTTCAAGCGCGACTGTCCCGCGGAAAGACTCCGCAGACGGACTTTCCCCAAGCCCGTCCTCAAGGGTCGCTGGCAGAAGCCAGGATCCCGGGACAGGGGGACTCCTGAGACCAGTAGGAGCGGGGTGCCCTACTGGGGAAGAACCATGTCTTCGAGAAGGGTGCGCGGGAGGCGCGTACCACGGGGATTAGCCCTGAGAGTCTTCGCACTCTCGAATAGGCGAAGAGAAGCGTCGGGCTGCTCGTAGTACACGGATGTGTACGGGGATACGACCACCCCTTTAGAATCTTGATCGATTCTGGGGCGTCGAAGAATTTCACACGCCGCCAGACGGTTGCTCATAATAGCAACAAGTTGTCCGATGCTTTGAAAGAAAGCAAGGACAATGGGACGGTGTCAGTGCGACTGGCCGACGGGAAGGCCGTCACTGTCCTCATTGTCCAAGTGGATCTGGCCGTCAAGTTTGAAGACTTTGACAGCCTCGTATAGTTTAATGTTCTAGACATGGATCCTTACGATATGATCCTGGGCATGCTCTGGCTCGAGTAGCACGAGCCCTGGATGAACTGGCGAGGCAAGGCAATCGGTGCCAGCCGCCCTTCGAAGTCCGACAGAGCATTGGTGAGTCATGTTCCCACCTCTGTCAGGACCCAGGGCGCCCGCAAGGGTTGCCAGGGTACCGAAGCTTCCAGCAGATGCTTGGGAGTCGTCGACGTATATGACAACTCCGAGGACGTTTCGATGGTGGCGACGCCCAGAGGAGGCGCTGACCAAGTGGGTAACTTAGGTGCACAAGTGGGTAACGTAGTTCCGCAGACAGCTGCAGCTGTCACGAACGCTGGTAGTAGCGTGTTCATGGTGGGTAACACAGTGCCACACGAGGTCGCCCAGGCCATAACTGAAGAGGAAGACGCGGATTGCGCTTCCCGTGTGGGTAGCATAGTACTACACGAGGCCTCGAATGCCTCGGATGTCTACACCACTATATCTTCAGAGGTGGGTAGCAAAGTTCCACGTCACGTTCGCCGTCGACGACGACGCCGCCGCGTCGAGAGTCGGATCTGAACCCCGTTCAGATCGCCGTCGCTTCAAGCGACTCGGAGTCCAGAGCCCGGGCTCCTCCGACACGGCCGGTGGAAGTTGTTATCACATCTTCGATGGCTAGACCGTTTTACCCGTCAAGGCATCTGGTGTCCACTTGGAACCGTTGCCGGAGGTGGTAGAGATGCTGAACATCGAGAAAATGACGGTCGAGTCTTTCCTGGTCAACCTCAAGGCTAGGAAAGGTGCCGAGATGGTGCTCATAAGACCTGAGACCACTCGGGAGGAGTTGAACTCCCCCTTTGTCTTGGACGAGGACGTTCTGGAAGAGCTGAACAAGCAGCGTCAGACGCACTTGGGCTCTGCGATCCTTCAGAACCCCAAGGATCCGGTGTATCCTTTGCTGACGGAGTATGCGGACGTGCTGAACAAACACCCACCGACCTAGCTCCCACCAGATCGACGCGTACGTCATGAGATTGATCTCGTTCCTGGCACAAAGTACTGTGTCACGAGACAATGGCCTCTTCCGCGCGAACA